TAGCACCACAATCAGGAGATCCACAACCACCATCCAATTCTCTATCCATCCTGCCATCACAGCCCAAGGTACGACGTGCAGTAGCGTGAGCAGTTACATGTTTATACCCTCCCCTTCCTCATCTCACTAGTCCCGGTCAGTCTATCTCCCTGTTCCTGTTTCATGAAGCTGATTTTTGTGCCGCCAGCGCCCCAACATGAAAAGGCCTCCCATGACACGACTCTCCTCGACCAAATACAACCCTCCAAATCCGTCGAGCCCGGATGACGTGGCTGAAGAAGAGACGTCTGGGCAGGGCTTTTCAAGATGATCAAGAGCGCGCATTTCCAGACCGCACTCACATCATTCCATATTCCATCTAGCTACCTCTGCCAATGGACCCCAATCGTGACCATGCCAGGTATCGATGTTGTTCATGTTGCGCTGCCCAGGTCTTGTGCCTGATAGTTGGACAGAAACATGTCCTGTTTAACGGCTAATATGTGTACCTGGTCAGGTTTTCTTACTAGACAGACCGTGGTCTTGTCGCCCTGCTCGTCATCCACAAACCCCAGTGGCTCCAACAATCGGTCACGGAACGCCTCATGCTGTCGACTCGTGTCCGGTGCTATTGCATGTCTAACCGGCCACAACAAGATAGCTTCGAGTTTCGGCGATGACTTGTTCAATTTATCCCTTTTGACTTCCCTATAGGCAATGATTGGCAAGTCCACGGACCTGCGCCGAGGTGATAGCGTCCGGAGGAACTCAGCTCCTCTGTCCAAACTCTGGGAAACTCCAAGATGAAAGTCCAGCAGCAAAAGCCAGGCAGATAAAACGAGACCTGGTCACAATGCTGCTGGCGTGGATTGGACAAGAAGCAGCTACAGCTAAGATGCCCCATTGTATCTCCCCCGACTTTCTGCAATTCATTGCGCTAGTGGATATCAAAAGTCCAGCACTGTGGCCGTACCGCGGCTGATGCGGGAATGCATCATCGTCAGCGTCCAACTTGCCTCGTCGATTTGTCACGGTCGCTGGTGTTTTTATCTAATTTTAGCTAATAATATCACCAGGCCACTTCCTTCCCATCATACACATTTGGTCCTGGCACATTCTCCCACCCGGGAACGAGGATGTTCTGAAATTTCCCATTGTCCTCTGTTGTGCTCTTAAACAGGATATCGAGGGTAGCTTGTGCTCCCACCTCGACGGGCAGATCTGCCTGATCTCCACCCAAGTCGGTCTTCAACCACTGAATATTCGGAGACGTCAGTCAGCTATATCCCATAGTGCGCGATATGAGCGGCCAAAAAGAGAAGAGCTCGGCTTACACCAGGGGAAACCAGCAGGAATGTGAAGCCTTCTTTTCCCAGCTCCAAGGCATATTGCACGGTCAACATATTCAGCGCGGCTTTGGACACCTTGTACGCTGGTGTTGGTGCGAACACATATCCGTGAACCATTGATATGGACCCAAGCGTCGAAGTACTGCGATGGTATCCGCATCAGTTAGCCTTGATCAACCCGTGGATATTGACAGCCACACAACTCACATGTTCAACACCTTCTTCTGTACACCTTTTCGTAGCAGGGGCAGGAATGCTGCCGTGACGTCGTGCACAGCTTCTACATTCACCTTGAACACATCCCCAATGTCGCCCATGGTCTCGATTCCTTTCATGGTCCAAGGCATGACACCAGCATTATTGATGAGGACATCAAGCCCTTTTCCGGCAAGTGTTTCATCGACTTGATATACCGCCCTCTTGATGCTGTCTTTATCGGTGATGACCATCGGCAGGTGGACGACCTTTCCGTGAGAACGAGTGATGAGCTCCGACAGAGCATCTGAGGGAGCAGATCTTGTTGCTGCAAAGATGGTGGAAACTTGGTCTTTGGGCAGCTTGGACAGCTGATTGACGAACTCAAGTCCCAACCCGCGGCCGGCGCCTGTCACAAGGTATGCAGACATTGCGATTTCTCTCAGGTCAATCCTGTCAAACTTGCTGTCTACGTGAGAGTACTATCAGTCCAAAATGGCGGCCCTTTCGAGAAGACATGTCTATATATGTGTGTGATTTCTAAAACGGCCCGGACCATTGATCATTATCAGCAGCTACACCCCACCCGTCTTGGTGACCGTACTTTCTGGTCAAGGTTTGATTGCTGTACTACCACCGCCACTTCGGAAATATGTCTAGTAAGTCCTGGCTTGGCCGCCTTACAATGTTGAACAATTAATCACAGAGTTCGGGAATATGGAGATAGAGTGTGGCCCTCTCCAAAAAACCTCTCCATCCTGTACGAAGCTAGCCATGTCAAGAAGGATGGGTGGCCTGGCCGCCCAGTTCTATACACATTCAGCTCGTACGACAAGTCCATCATCAACAGAATTGCTCTTCTCGGTGGAGCATTCGAGTTTCATCTCAAGACACATTGATTACAAAGCCAATCTAGTTCAAACTTCGAGTGTCCCGCTTTGTGCCATTAGGTGCAGGTTCCAGAGTTCTGGCTCAGACTTTGAGAATGTGGTCCACCATGAGCTGACTGGCTCCCATATAGTTTGTCGGGTCACAGAGCGCCTTCAACTGTTCTTCCGACACGTAGACCGCGATGCTGGCACGGTCTTTCAGCACGTCGAACAGAGCCTTGTCCTTTTCAATCGACTCTTTACAAGCCTCGTAGACCAGATCATGAGCCTGCTGCCGGCCCAGGAACGGGGCGAGGCCCATCATCACGGCCTCTCCGACGATCAGACCCCTCGTGGACACCAAGTTCTTCATCATGGCGTCTGTGTTGACTACAAGGCCGCCCAGAGCGAAGTTGGTCTGGTGCAAGGCGCCAACGGCCAGGACGAATGCTTCAGGCACGGCAACCCACTCCAGATGCCAAGGACCCGACGCTCGCTCAAAATCCGTCACCATGGCGTCCAGCGCTAAACCCGCGTTGGCGCGGAGAAGCTTGGAGGCTGCAAGAATGACTTCGCTCGAGATAGGGTTCCGTTTCTGCGGCATCGTCGACGACGCACCGCGGTGAGGCACGAACGGTTCCGCCACTTCGCTCAGTTCGTTGGACGACATAAGGATCAGGTCGTATGCCATCTTACCAAGCGAACCTCCTACCAGGGCGAGGAAGTTGATGATTTCGGCCACGTTGTCGCGGGCCACGTGCCACGTAATACTTGGGTTGCCTAGACCGAGCTCCTTCGCGAGCTGTTCCCTCACACGGAGACCAGTGTCGTCGGACCCCAGGGAAGCGAGTGTTCCCGCCGCGCCGCCGAATTGGACGAGAAGGCAGCGGTTCTCGATTTCCCGGAGACGCGCAGAATGACGGATGATGCTGGATAGGTAGACAGCGCATTTGTAGCCGAACGTGCAGGGTAGAGCGTGCTGAAGATGTGTCCGGCCAGCCATCGGTGTGTCGCGGTACTTCTTTGACAGAGTCCGCAGTATGTTTTCTAGTTCCTGTAAATGGCGTTTGACGATTTCCAGCCCCTTGCGCATCTGAAGCACGGAGGCAGTGTCCATCTATATCAGAGCCGGATATTAGATGACTGGTGGTCAATAATGCAGATATTGCCCCTGTCCTGGAATGACGAGGAGACAGTCTCACATCCCACCAAAATATCATGACTTACAATGTCTTGGGTAGTGGCCCCCCAATGGATATACTTGCCCATCTCACCAGACGCATGTTCAACGAGCTGTCGCACCAGAGGAAGGACAGGGTAACCCACAATCTCGGTCTCGCGCGAGAGGCGGTCGAAGTCTAGACTACCCCGTCGTCCGCCAGATGAGTGCCGACTCTCTCAAATGAGTAATAATTGGGGGTTTGTATCGAACTCACCGAAATCCTTCCTCTGTGAGTTTCTTGGTAAGGATCTCTCCGGCGTCCTCCGGGATGATGCCAATCTTGGACTGCGAGCGGGCGAGGGCAAGCTCAACGTCGACCATCTGCTGAGTGTAGGCTTCATCGTCGAAGACACTTCGGATCTCCTGGGTGCCAAAGAGGTTCTGGAACAAGCGTGAGTCGAGCGCCGAGACGGACATTTTCTTCGTCTTCTCTAAGATTTTGCTTTTCTAGACAGCTGATTCTTTTCTAGACAGCTGATTCTTTTCAAGAGGTGGTTGCTTTTACAGGATAGTAGTGGGAGTCTAGAGATTCTACCTGTCAATAATGTGACCGGAGAGTCTCCTGGTTTTTGTGGACTTCGGCGCTCTTCTGGTCGGCCGTGGTCGGTGCTGTCAGTGTCACTGTTTATGCTTGTGCGGGGTCAACAGCCTCGTGCGGGGAGAAGATGAGACTTCAGAATCACGAGAGGAGGTTGACAATGAAAAGGCTGGAAGGGTCACGGGGTTTGCATGTGCCTTCTTTATCAGTCACGTGCTAGCCTTTCCAATATGAGACGTTCGACCTCCAGAATATCATTTCTCAAAAGTGGTTGAACTCGTATCTGTTAAGCTGCTGTACGATATCGCACTCATAATCAGGCTTTGCGAAGAGCTGGTGTGTTGTTGTCGCCCTTTTTTCCTGTGTGCGGCTGTCTCACACGCAAGGAAAGTCTTGGCAGTCGAAGCCCCCGGCCCCGCCTTTTTTTCTATGCAGATTCTCAACCACTTTTTCGAGTCACTTTTGCAACACGACATTCATTACGTCCTCTCCACCACCAGTTACTGATTGCAGCATCTCAGATCGCCGTCTCCTCCAATCACCATCCACAACTCTCGCTCTTTTGGGTAGTTCTGTCTGCTACTTCAATACAACATCCAGTAACGACAACTCTCTCAGAGAGTCAGCGCAGATCCAACGATTCGACAGCCACTCACGCCACCCGTCGCTTATACTCAGTCACCCTCTCTATCGACTCATCCTTTGAGGCTCCAAGACCACCAAACCACCATCAGTCTGAGTCACGTGTGCTCTTAAATATGCTCCTCTCGAGCGTCCTCCATCAACACGATCCCATTCAATCTTCTTGATCAAGTTAGTGTCTGCGCATTTGAAACCACGGCTCCTCGATGCCACCCAAGCCGCCCCCACCCAAGCCCCGGGCTGGCCAACACCGCCGACCCAACTATCGCGGGCGCATCGAAGGCTTGGGCAGCCCGGCACCAAGTTCTCTTCGAGCATCGACCCCTACACTTGTGCGAGCACCCACGCCAGTCAGCCAACCTCTTGCTCGCTCAAAGCCTCTGTGTCCGAATCCCGACTGCCCCGACCGGACAAAGGTTGTGTACAGCGACCAAGGCCTCATCTGCGAGAGTTGTGGAGCCCTAGTACAGGAAGAATCCGGTCTTGTCAGCGAGCAGGGATTCGGTGAAACTGAGTCTGGCCGTATTACCGCCCTTGGTGTTCAGGTTGGTGAAAACCAGTCTCATCAAAGGAACTACCATGGTGGTGCTTTCGGGAGTGCTGGCCGTGAGGCGCCCCTCAATCGCGAACGCTCAAAAGCTCAAGCTAGGAACATCATGTCTTCTTACATCGCTCTCCTTGGTATCAGACATACCGAGGTCGAGACGGCCGAGAGACTCTTCGAGTTCGCAAATACTCTTGGCTTTATCCAGGGAAGAACCATTGAGAGTGTAGCCGTCACCTGCCTCTACGCTGCTTGCCGACGCAAGACCGAGCAGGTCGAGGGCCAGCCCAGACCCATGTACAGCCTCATGCTGATTGATTTTGCCGAAAAAATGAATATGGATGTTTTTGCCTTGGGAAGGGTGTATCAAGACCTCGTCAAGAAGCTCTACCTCCAACAAGGAAGAGGCTATCGAATGGATGGCTCAGCAGAATTCTGGGGCATGGATCCAGCCACGCTTGTGCCTAGGTTTGTCGACGAGCTGGATTTTGACAAGCATGATCGAGACAAAATCAAACGCGATGCTATTAACATCGTCAAGCGGATGAAGCGCGACTGGATCGCCCATGGCCGCAGACCCTCGGGCGTCTGTGGTGCAGCGGTCATTCTGGCAGCTCGAATGAACAATTACCGCCGGACCACTCGCGAGGTCGTGCTGACTGCGAAAGTCACCGAGATCACTATCAACAAACGACTCGAGGAATTCCATGACACACAGGCGAGTAAACTCTCAGTCACGAAATTCAGAAGTGACGGGATTCCGGAGCCCTTCACACCACACCCACTTGATGAGCAACAACCGCCTGTCTTGAAACAAGCACTAAACCCTAAGCCCAAAGGCAGGAAGAGGGGACGACCTCGAAAGAATCCCCTTCCAGAGACCGCCGCAGAAATCGAAGGGGATGCCACAGGTCCCGGAACCCAGGCTGCTCAGGTTTCGGGTGAAGGACAACCACCGCCGGCAAAGCGAGTTCGCATCGATGCAGAAGGCTACAAGATTCCAGAGATCCCAGCTCGACTGCTTGCGATTGACCCAGCTCTAACTCAGAGTGAGACGCCTGCTGAATCACAACCTGAACAAACCGACGCATTGCGAGAGGCAACACCGTCATCATCGCACAATGGCGAAGGCCAGGACGTCCCAGAATCCTCGCAGCCTCGACAGCGAAGACATAAATCTGCGCACTGGAAAGCACCACCTGCATCAGCAGCGGAAATCGCGATTGAGAACGAAATTGAACAGGGTATCGCAGAAGCATTACGGGACAACCCAGAACTCGATCCAAACTACCGGACTCTACCTCCAGGTGAACAGCAGGTACAGGAGCAACTGCCCAGTGGTGGCGTATCTTCTGAACCAGGAGAAGAACAAGGTCGACCACCAGCCACTATAGATCTCACGGTCGACCCAACTGAGACCGTTCCCCCACACCCAAAGGACAAGAGAGCGGGACCCCCGTGTAACACAAACATTGGTAATCTTGGCATCGTTTCTCTTTCTCCAACTCTCGGAGCCTCAGAATTCGACTCGGACGAAGATGTCTCTACCTGTCTCTTGTCCGAGCAGGAGACCCGCATCAAGGAAAGAGTGTGGGTGAGTATGAATGCCGATTGGTTGCGACAGGATCACGCCAAGCGGATCAAGAAAGAATTGAAGGAGGCGGACATGAGGGCGAGAGGCTTGGACCCGGAGCAGGAGGAGAGGAGAAGGAAACTGGAGAGGTTGAGGAGAAAGGATGGGACTAAGAGACCGGGTCGCCGGGGAGACGTGAGCTATTTGAAGGAGCAGCGCGGCGGGAGAAAGAGAGGTAGAGGTGTGGAGGGCGAGGGTGAAGGCGGCGAGAGAGTAGACGGAGAGGGTGCAGAGGTAGAGAATGAAGGAGACGAAGGAGAAGGCGGGGACGAACAGGACAACACCACGGTCGGCGGAAGAGAGAGAAGTGCCGCGAAATCCATGAGGCTGATGCTCATGAACCGTAGGACGTTTTCGCGGCGGATTAACTATGACGCCCTCGAAGCCATCTACGGCATGTCGTCAACCAGTGAGGACAGCGAGTCGCGTAGCGCCACAGGCGAAGCTCGAAGCCGCAGCCAGAGCGTCGCACAGAGCGATACCACTGCGACCCCAGGACCTGAGGGTGGGCGCGAAAGAAGCAGGGAAGCCAGTGTTATGAGCGCCGCCAGCACTGGACCGTTGGAACTCTTCCGCGGAAACATGAGCAAAGAGCGGAAAAACGCTATCCAAGCAGCAGATAGAAGGGAGAAGAAAAGACGGGAGCAAATGGAGGGGGAGAAGGACGACAAGTCCCCCACCAACGATGCTGCTGGTGCCCGCGAGGGAAGTCAGGGAAGTGCTGGCGGAGCGAGCAGGTCGGTCTCACGGAGTCGTAGCGCGAGCACACCCGCCTCGGAGGGAGAAGGGGACGCAGAGGAAGACAGTCGTGGGAGAGAGCGTGAAGTCAGCGGGCCGAGTCCGGAACGTGAATCTCGACGGCAGCAGAACCAGCAACATCAACTTCCCTCTCCGCCCAGAACGCAGTCCCAGCAGATTCCTGCCATAAAGACGTCCTCTGCTCCGTCGTCCTCGATTCCACAAATCCAAGTCACAGGGGGAAGTACTGCGTCGAAATCAACGGCGGGACAGCCCGCCGTGGCAGAAAAGGGGAATAATGCGCCTGAGGACGACGATGATGATGGCGACGAAGAGGAGGAGGAAGATGATGACAATGACGACAACGACTCGGACGAAGCAAGCTACGACTCGGACGAGAACGTGGATGAGGAGGAGGCCGGTGGTGGTGATGATGATGGAGAAGCCGATGAAGATGTCGACGCCGCGTTCGAGGGCCGCTATGTTGGTCGTTAGGATTTGATCACTCATCCGTTTGATCAATCCATCGATTGATCGATCAGCCAGCCAGCCAGCCAGCCAGCGAGTCGTGAGCAGTGAGTGATAGGGGAGGCAGGAGAGTCCATATCACGAATCAGGAATCAGGGCCGTGGCCAGGCGTGGCAAGGGGGTTGTTGCTATGGACATCAATGGCTAACCCCCAGCAGGTGCAAGCACACGGGTGCCATGTCCACAAGCATTGGAGTGGAGGAGGAGAGAGCAAGTCGTGTCTTGTCTTGTCTCTCGTCGCATCGCGCCTCGTCTCGTCTTGGTTAAATAGATAGATGATGATACCCACATACTAGGTACATACATAGATACCAAACAACATAGGATATGCATTGACCTACCTACCTTCACACATAAACATCCTCGCGTAAGCTGTACGTGCACTTGACTAACTTTTGTCCCTTGTTCGGACTGATCTTCATCTATCCAGATATAAGTAAGCAGTCACCAAAATCACTCGATACAAGATTTACATACGACATGTGACATGGTGCAAGCGGCATGCTGCAAGAGACAAGAGATAAGAGACAAGAGACATGATATGACATCCAGTGTCTTTCGTTGCTACCAACGACTCGATTTGATCCGCGGTAATTGATCAATTCAAAGGATCTTATCCTATCCTAACCTCCCATATGTCATATTCACGGACCCATGTGGGCATATCTTCATGTTTCCTGTAACGCATGTCCCATGCAGCATGTCGCTCAAAGCAGCATGTCGCTCAAGTACCCGATAAACCTGGCCGGTATTTCAACTCTCTATCCTCTGCGGGTCTCACCGCTCTCGACAGCCCAAGCAGAGCCCGTCGCTCGCTTGAGCAAGAGTTGAGCAAGCAGAAGTGGACGCTGTCGCCTTCCTGCCCTGCGGAACGCTGTGGAAGGTCGAATGCAAAAGGATGACTTCAAAAGGTCATGTAAGGTCGAGACGGGTCTGTCAAAGGCCTTTCAACTCGGTTGTTCTAGCTGAGGCAGCGTTTCGGATGGCAAGATGAGAAATGGCTTTGTCCCTTCTTGGTGATGTGCTTCTCTCCGTCTGTCGTGCAGAGGAATTCAAGACGAACAATTGTCCCTGCATTCGTTCCTTTGGAGAACGCAACCCGACGGGGCGACTTGCTCGACATTCTGTTGTACCATTCGACGTTGTGGCAGGTCGGTCTGTGGCTTCTGTCGCGGCCGCGCGGGAAGTGCAAGACGTCCTTATCGATATTGTGCTGCCATCCCAAATCACGTATACCCATCGTGCCCATGGCAGCTGCTATTCCAGAGTGTGCTCGAAGTATTGGTGTTGTGGTCGTATCTCGTTATAAATGCATCTCGACATGGATGTTCACGCCTTGCGCTGATCCCCATCTTCCATCTGATCGTCCATCTCTTCTTCTATACTCTCCGCACTCAAACCTCTTCTGTGTCCCTTTTGGTCCTTGCTCTTTTCGTTCCCTAGGTCGCCGTCCTGCTCTTCCCGACCCACGCCCAACCCGATGCCGCCGGTCACCAGATCTCGAAAACTCATCCTCCTCGGCCTATCGCGAAGACTGGGTGCTCGTGGTCTGTGTTCCCCTCTGGCCCGTCCACCCCAAACGGGCACTTCATGCCACATCCGGCGGCAGATGTAGTACAAGACGTCGTAGAGGATGGCGAGGAGCCAGGGGGCGATGTTGATGATCGCCAGAATCAGCTGCGACTCATTAAAATTAATGTTAGAATCGATCAGAGAAGGTGGACGGCGAACAGAACGAAAAACAGGCACGCGGAAACAGAGCCAAAGGCGAACAAAAGGCGTCAACTCACAAATGCACGCACGATCCATGTTTCGTAGGCGGTCAAATGGGACGGGAGAAGGGAGTACCACGCCATTGTCTTCGTCTGTGCACACGCACTGCGCCGACTCTTTCGACGCACCCGGATTTCACGACTTCGGAGGAGGGTACGGGCTAGTACGTGGTGGCTACGACGTCTCGAGCTCCGACACGGAGGCGAAGATGTCGAATCAGGACACTACTCTGGTGTCTGGGCAGAGGAGCATCGCCAGCGACATGGTTCGACGAGACGCCCCGGACCAGCCGGCTGAACAGTCGCCGCAATGCAATGGGTGGTCGAGGAAGGCACGGGAGGGATTTTCGACGAGTATACGTTTCTTGACAGTTGTTGCGTCTCGACCTTCATATGGAGGCGCACATACTCGACATTCATTATCAAGTTGCCCTGGGTGCATAACTTGGGTGTTCTTGTTAGGGTTGCATGAACTCTTATGTCCTATTACTCCACAGTACAACTCGCACTAGCATTGACTGATGACGTCATACTAGTAAGGATAACCGCACAAAGACCAGGCTGCGAAATACCAATTCAAGAAAATAGTTATCTGGTTTGTACGATTTCGAACGTTCCCATGGAAGAATGATTAAGAGCATTTCTAATACCCTCTATGGTGATTCTTGGAGAATTGCCCTCAGAACCGTGAATATTCCACCCATGTCCCATGTTGAACAAGCACAAAGACAATGAAGAAACAGACAAAACACTTCTCCCAACTTGGTATCATAAAACTTCGCACATTTTCTTTTCCCCAGTCCTGTTTTCTTTTTTGGTTCCTGTCAAGTCGAAAGCGAATCGGGTCCCGAATGAGGAAACCGGAAGAAACCCGGGGCATGTCGCAAGGGAACTCCGAACAGCAATATGCCCACCCTATTCCACTCTACGCCCAACTTCGATCCATCAAGCAGTACATGGCTCGCCATAAAAGGACGACCAAATATGAGACATGGCAAACGAGACCATCGTGTCGTCGTCATTTCATCAAGTCATAAGTCTGCGCTTTTTCTTCGCAGGAGTCACAGGGTCGGAAGCTCGTCCATGGTTGGGATCTCGCATCCGCTGCACAGGTGTCACTCCTTTGTAGTGCGAAGAGGTGTACGGCGAGACATGATTCTTCCTCTTGCGGCGAGACGGTGCTGGTGTTGCAAGAGGCGAACTCAAGTAATCTAGATCCAGATATGACGGCATTTGGCTCATCGCCGCAAAAGCTGGGTCGGCGTTGCGTCGGAATGCCGTGATGTTGCCGTTGTTAAGATGAGCGAAATCATTGCTGAGGAGCTCGTGGTTGGGAGGCATGAAGATGGGCGACGTCGGAGCGTCGCTGTCCTCAGAACCACTGTCGAATTGAATTACATCGGTGAGACTGATGACATCTTCCCCAAGCCCATCCGTTTGAAAATCTCCAGCGAGATCGCCCTGGTCAACGGTAAAATCATCGAAAAAAAAGTTATTGGTAGGATAGAACGCTTCCAAGGGGCCAACAGCCTGACCCTGATTGAAAGGGTCATTGATCGCAGAATTGAAGCTAGCAAGCATGATGTCTGCGCTCTGCCCAGTTAAGAGATCAGTAAAGTCACGATCGCCGGCATCGCTCTCCTCAATGAGCTCGGCAAAGCCCACATCTGGACTGGATGTTTGGGACGCTCCGTAGCGACGGGCGAACTCTTCACCCAGCAGATGGGGATTGGTCATGAGGATGATTTTCCCCGAGGAGTCGAGAATACCAGATGTCTTGTCACCTTCGTCGATAAAGATGCCACGCGGCGGGCCCCGAAGCCGAGCTGGTTTCTTGCCCGACTTCTTGGATGGCGGTGAAGCCGAAGGCGACGTCTCTTTCTCTTCGTCGGCCGCATGGGGAGTGCTCTGAAGGGCCTCCTCCGGCAAACAGTCGTCGGTCAGATCAGCTGCAGGGTGTTAGTCATCATGAACACGGACAAATCACATCACAACATACAATCATCCAGGTCATCGACCAGGACGCCAACGCGTCTGTCAGCACCTTGGTGCAAGAATCCAGAGTCGGGTAGTGCTGAGGGTAGCAGGGCACGAGTAATGGTAGGCGATTCGGACATGCCTAAGAGAATGGTTGGGTCGGCATCGGTGGCAAAATGCACCCGTTTCTCGGGAGCGGTTTCAGTGGCACTGTCGCTACCTTGTGAAGAGGGAAAACGGTAGATGGAGCCATCACTCTCATCTCCAAATCCGTAGGCAGACAAGCCATCAATCTGGTTGAGAAGGAAGTCGGCATCACTCTGACCTTCTTCGGACAGCATGGCAAGCAAATCTTGCTCTTGAAGTTGGTTTCCATCCACATCGTCGTCGGAATCACTAATATCATCGACAGCCCGGTAGATGTCATTGTCGTCATCTGATTCTGCAAAGACCTTTTCTTCAAAACGCTTCCTGTTTTCTTCGGGGGAGAGGTCGGGGTCTTCGTCATCCTCGTAGTAGTCTTCAAAATCACCGAACATACTCTCTGAGCTGCCAGCGAGGGATACATTATCCCGCGACTTGATTTGTTTTTTGGGCCCCGCCCCATTCAATCTCCGGGAACGAGACGGGGCTTTTACTGCTGGCAGGTCATCTTCATCATCGGCTTCATCCTCACTCTCTTCGTCCGAGGCATCATCTGCAGTCTCGGACCCATACGAGGAGAGATCTTCTCCCGAGGTCGAGCTGTCGGCTTTTTTCCTTTTGCCCGACGATTTCTTTGTCACCGTGTATTTGCGAGGAGGTCTGCCCCTCTTTGGCTTGGGTTGGTAGGTGTCATTGGGGTGTTCTTTGGACTTGAATAATTTGACGGTGGAACCCAGCATAGGCTGGCGGCCCCTCGAGTTGCGGGTAAAAAGCCGGGACATTGTAGTGCAATGGGGCAGACTTTCGGTAGTTTTCAAGAAAGTAGAATATTAAGAATAAGTGGTAGAGGTTTGGGTGCGATATCAAGGATGGCGGGGGGGTGTAGGTAGGCGGAGGAGGTCGTCCTGGAGGGGGTGAAAATATCGTTCTTAGCACCTGTGTCGCAAGGACAGCTGGGTGCCGTTCAGGTGTGCAAGCAGGGCAATTTCGAGGACAGTAGTGGACACGAGCTCCTACGCGGTAGAGCCTCGAAAGAGTAGATATCGAAACGAGGATTTGCTGGAGCTGCTTGAC